ATGGCCATGTTTTCCACTCTCATGGGACACACATTCCCCTAAGAGAAGGAGACATTGTTCAAGTTCCAGCTGCAAAGAAGAGGAGCAGTGCTGTGAGACAGATAATGGGGGAATTGACCTGTTGACAGAGTTTGTAGAAGCCTTCCTGAGAAAGTGAGGATTGRCCTGAGGGCAGAAGAGCATGGGAGTTAACTTGGGAGTGGAGAGGCAGGGATAGGAGTGGAGGAATACAGTGGCAAAGACCTTGTGGAAGGAGGGAACACAGCATTGTTAAGAAATAGAAGAAGGCTACATTGTCTGTAGTGTAGCAAGTGAGGGAAGTGCCAGATGGAGAAGGTGGGGTCCCCACGAGAGTGTTGGAAACCAACGAAGATTTTAAGTTGAGAGTAAGAAGGAAGTGACATGATTGGAGACAGCTTTTRGGGAAAAAAATAAGATTTCCCTGAAGTCCTCCACTCTTCTTCACACTAAGGAGGCCAATTTGGAGGTAATCCAGAAAAGTGATGTAGTAACTTGAGAAAAATGGATCTTTTTGAAAACTATTTAAGAAGTAAAATCCATAGGACTTGATGGCAGATTTAATGTTGTGGCAGAGTAGGAAAGTACAGAAAGGGAGTTATTAGGGGATGAGAGTGGAGTGGGTTGAAGAGTGAGATGAAATATCACAGAGTATGGCCAAATCTTCCCAGAACTTTGTAAAGGAGTCAAGATAGCGAGAGCAAGAGTGAGAGAGTGAGAGAGAGAGAGAGAGAGAGAGAGAGAGAGTGTGTGTGTGTGTGTGTGTGAGAGAGAGAGAGAGAGAGAGAGAGAGAGAGAGAGAGAGAGAGAAAGAAAGAAAGAAAACTGTGGGAAAAGAGATAGGATTGAAAAAGACTGTGGATCTATTAACTTTTTTTTTTTCTTCTGGTGACTTGAGCCTGTTTAAAAGCTAATAGAGCCAGTTTAGAAGGAGAATAGACAGCAAAAGATTCGCAAGAAAGCCGGTAAGGGTGAATCTAAAATGCAGATATTGGGGAGGCTGGCCTCAGACAGGAAGGCAGATGGGTGCAGATGCACATGGTTTGTAGAGTTGGAAGTGGGATATTGAAGTTTTCATACATTGGCTTCATATATGTGTGTGTGTATGTATTTTTTTTTGTGTGTGTGAAGTAGGGTTAGGGTTATATGGCTAAGAAAGGGRAAGGATATTTGGAGTTTCAAAAAGAATAGGGAGGATTTGGAAATTTTACTATGAAATATGAGGACTGCTTGGCCAAAGCTCTGTGGTTGGAGTGCAGGACAGTGTTGAGGGCTGTTTGATCCCTCTATAATTTCATATTCACCAACTTCAATCCCTTTTACATCTGAATTTCTCCAACAGGGCTCTGATTGTTCAGGGCTTGTTATTGAGTAATAGTTAGGCATATTGAGGGATTTGGGTTTTGCCAGCTCTTGGCAATGGAAGGGGAATGTAGGGTCTTAGAGTATTACAGAAATGATGGGCTTTAAGAACTRACTGATTAAAGAAAGAAGTTTTAAAAAAAGGAAAGGGCTAATGCATTGGGGAAAAGCTGAGGGGTTAGTGAATTTGCGAATGTTGAAATATGAACAGGTTCAAAGGAAAGGAAGCTAAGTCAATAAAGGAAACTCTTGAACAAATGTTATTTTGGAGACAGAAGAGTGATGGATGAGGGATGATGGTTATGGGTGGTTGAGATGTGTGGAAGAGGTGCTAGTCCAGGTGAAGATAAAAAGGACTGAGTTGTCAAGGTGATACTGGTCTATCTGCACAGACGAGAAATGACTCAGGATGATGGTGGGGCTAGAGGACATCAGTGAACTGGGTTCAATATGTACATGAGAGGAAACGTTTGGAAGGTTAGAATATGACACAAATGAGGAGAGGAAGAGGGCTGGGGGACTGAATGGCAAGACCAAAAGGGAAGTGGGTGTTTAAGAGGGTGGGGAATGGGAAGTAAGGCTGGAAGGGGCTTTGCTTACCATAAAGATCAAAGAGGGTACTCAGGCCACTACCTGACTGTGGAGTGTGGGAGTCTAGGCAGCCACAATGMCACCTCTCTTCAAAGAGAAGAGAGGTGTCATTAGAGTGCTCAGAGGAGAGGCCAGGGATATAGCACTSTTTTCTGGATATGGAGTAATAGTTCCAGGGAACCCAGTGAAAGGATTTGGGAGGTAGAGGGGATGATAGTCTGGGRAGGTGGCTGGAAAGAAATTTTGGAGCAGGGCAAAGACACCCAAGTAGTAGAGGATGGATTTCTTTAGTAGGAACTGCCTACATTTAAGGTGTTTTCTTGTGAAAATAGGGATGAGTTAGGAGCCCAGGGACAAGTGATCTTGTTTCCCTTGGCTGGAGTCATGACAGGCCCAGAAACTGCTTGTCCTGCATATTGATAGAGATGATGATGGAAGCAGAAATTTACTGAGTGCAAACCATACTATTCTTAGTGCTTAAGGGACATTACGTTGTTTATTCCCCACAACAGCCTTGTCAGTGCTGTTGCCATCTCCAACTTGAGGAAACTGAGGTTCATTTAAGGCAAGTTAAGTGCAGCTAACAAATGGTGGAACTGAGACTGCAACTCAAGACTGTGAGCCTGCATACTTTTGGCAATGTTGTATGCATTTAACATTTCCTTACATGTGAAAATTTTGATTTTTTWAAAAATATAAGTGTTAGAATTTTGAGAAGTCAATGTAGTCTTTAATACAGAGCTGCCTTTTTAGATCCCCAAATTAGGTTCAATCCTAGATCCAGATTCTCATTCTGAAAGCGCTCTGGAAGATGGACTAATGCCCACTGTCGGCTGACCACCTCCTGTCTGTCCTTTACCACTTCTGTGATGGATACTTGGATACTACTAAATTGTCAGGTGGATCATCTTTAAATTAAACTGAACTCTTCCCTTACTACCATTTTTGCCCACTTGTGGCATTTTGAGGAAACCAAAGTTCCTTTTTGCATTTTTCTTCATGAAAAATTTTTGATTTGTTGGAAGACTGCTCTAAAGTTCTCAGACATGCTCCCATCCTAACATTACTCAGTACCTTAAATCTTCATCTAAAAAAACACTGTCTTATTTATACTTTTGTAAAGCTATTTTAGTATGTGATTAATTCTAAATTAAATTGGACTGATACTTACATTGATTGAAAGGTATACTTTGTCCTGATATATAAACAAGCCTTGTTTTTTTTGTGTTTGGTATCTTCATTATCCTATTGTCTCTCCTTGGTTTGTGTTATTTATAAGTTAAGGTTGTGTGTGTGTGTGTGTGTGTGTCTATGTGTGTGTGTGTGTTGCTATTATGCTAAGTTCCTGTGTTTGTTGCCTTTAAAAGTTTATTTCCATAATTAAATAGTTAACAAATATTTGTAAAAAAAAGTTTACTGGGAAAAACTTACAAACTCCCAGGAGTTACTTTCTAAGTCTGTTTCAGATCATTGATCTATATACAGTTTCTAGTTTTTCAGCCAGCTCTGGATTTACCTAACTTGTTATCCAGCTACATTTCTTTGTAGTGTTCAAAGCTATCACGAGAAACTTTAGAACTTTGCTAGAATCAGATTATCCTTCATTAGGTAGTCTACTAGAACTTGTCATTTGTTTGTGAGGTAAGGGCTGAGAAGGCATTAGCAGTGACTGAGCTGTTCTAGGTCAGCAGGTGGGGAAAAGTGAAGGCCTTGCAGTTCACTGAACTATGGAGCCATGGAGAAAGGGCTGATTTTGGTTAAGTTCATCTTGGGCCAGATAGAGCCTGTGGAGCCTGCAGGATGCCCACATGCAGCGTCCAGAGGCAAGCTAACTGGCCATCWCTGGTGTGGTGGGGGATGACAGCTACGGTTACACATAACATAAGCAGTGTTCAGAGCATGGGGAAGCCAGGTAGAGACTGTAGTGTACAGAGAAGAGATTCAGGTGGTCAGAAGTGGTAAACATTAACAAGTTGAGGGAGTTCATGCCCAATAGCCTTTTTTTGTGTGTGTGAGATGGGAAGAAACCTTATCTTTTATAAAAGAGGGAGAACTGGAGATTTGAGAGCAGTGAATATATATTTGGACTTTTCCCTTTTAYTGCAGGGAAGTAGGAAAAGGAGCTCATTAGGCAAGGGAATGCTAAGCCTGAATGCTGCATTATCCCAGCTTTCCTCTTCCCTGCCGGCTTTAAAGGTGAACACACTGATCTTTCCCYTCTCTTTAAGGGTTTTATTGCTGAACACTGTAGCAGGGGTCTTTCCTGGGAGCTGTATCAGAATGTGAGGGGTAGAGTTGTGTGTGCATGTGGAAATGGCATTGGCAACTCTGATACATTGGCTAGGGAATCACTGTACTTACAAAGGATTAACARACAGAGAAAAGTGAGAGTAACAGTTGTGGTTGCTGGAGGGAGAGTGTGTTTTAAACTCAGTCAGCAGAACCAAGTCTTGTTTCACCTTAAATAGTGTTGGATATCGCCTCACTCTTTATGTGTCATCTCTGCTGRTTATTTATTTCCTAGAGAGCAGGGAGTGTCCCCGTAGCACACGCTCAACGTTTACCACTTTATGCGGTAAGGATTGTTTTTTTTTTTTTTTTGCTTCCTTCCAGGCTTATAATCATGACTCCCATTTAGTGTTTAGAACGCCARCACAATGCCTGGCACATGGTGGACAAGTGTCAGATGTTGGATGGGCCCTTGACTGAAGTGAGGACTGAATCAGGCCTGGCTATGCTGCCTCGGGCCCTTATCTTTGTGCGTGTCTAGTGTAGGCTTAAGAGGGCTTTCATAGGTGATGGTGGTGAGGTGTACCCCAGACCTTTTTCATGTCCTTTTTTACCAAGAAATCAGCCTCAGTTAAAGTGTATGCTGTCTTGGGGGAAAAGTACAAAATCATTGTATTCAGCAGGTCTCTAGAAGAGTTCTACTGGTGTCCTTTGAATTTAGATGGGATAATTGTATTATAGAGTTCATGTCTAGATACTCTTGTACATTGACCCAGAAATATTTCCCATATCTGTTTCAGCTGCTTTTCTCCAGGACAGCTAGTTTCCCAGCTTTCTGCCAGCTGCTAGCCACATGTAGAGGTAAATGAACTAGGCCTAATGCTTCTCCTAATGTGTATTCCTATGCTTGATAATCACCAAACTCTCAAAGGCCCTTTATTTATGTTAGTAATGAGCATCATTTGGTTTTATCCATTTTAAACATGGTCTTGCCTGATTCAGAAACTTAAAACAAATAAATAGGAACAACTGCTTCCTACCAGAAACTTTGATTTTCTGGGGAAATTTCTAAAAATCTCTAGATTAGTCCTTGATTTGGCATGACTGATTAGGCAAGCAACTGCTTATTAAGAAGCAGAGATTGCAGGCATGGACTATCACACCTGGTGAACTTTCTTGATTGACATAATAAATGAAGAATAAAAAAAAAAAAAAAAAAGAAGCAGAGCTGGGAGTAGAACAATTTAATTAGCTTCTGTCTGTTGAGCCTTTAATAGAAGCCATAGCTTGAATATTGAGCTTAATATTTAGTTTTAAATGGAAGATTTTTTTTGTAAAGAAGACTCAGCATACATCCCAAAGACTTAACTGAAAATAAGTCTGTTAAAAATATAAAATTCATCCAATATAACAGATTTAATAAAAACTATAATTTGGGGGAGGGGAATGGTAAGTTTTTTAATGATGAATTATTTAATT